ATATAACAATGAATAATCCACATTACACTTACCGTCATAGGTAAACGACAAAGCGGTGCATCGGCCAGTGACCTTAGTATCTCTTCACTTTCTGTGATTTGTTTCAGAACTTGTTCGTCTGCTGCGAAGTCGGCGGTGTCGTATTTAGTCACATTGACCTGCACAAGGTATGTGAGAAAAAGAAAAGCCGGCACTTAAGATATAATACAAGGACATGAGAAAGGGGAAGCAAGAATATGCGATATAATTGAAGAATATGAGAGGAAACAAGGCAAGATTATATGATAGAATTCAGGGACATGGGAAGATGGAGCAGAAAAGGTACAAAGGCATGAGAGAGCGGAGGTATACGATATAATACATAGACATGAGCGGGAATAAGCCAAGCACATACGATAGAATTCAGGGACATGGGAAGATGGAGCAGAAAAGATGAAAACATGCGGCACAATACAAAGGCATGAGAGAGCGGAGGTATACGATATAATCCACGGACATGAGCGGGAATAAGCCAAGCACATACGATAGAAATCAGGGACATGGGAAGATGGAGCAGAAAAGGTGAGAATATACGGCACAATACAAAGGCATGAGAGAGCGGAGGTATACGATATAGTCCACGGACATGAGCGGGAATAAGCCAAGCACATACGATAGAATTCAGGGACATGGCAGAGAAAAAGCAACATGATACATGATACATGATACAATTTAAGTACATAGAGTCAACAGATAAATACACACATATAAACGGAAAGATACATACTCGGATAAATACAAATGTATACATATCCACAGGCACACGCGTACAGTATAGTTCTGGTAGTTGGATTCCTCGGTCCATTCGATATCCACCACATCGAAGTGCTGCAGATCCATCCCCGTCTTGACTATCTGAGTGCCCCTAACTGTCTCGTGGTAGTACTCGTGGTCGTGACCTGGTTAGTATCGAGTGTGTGTTAGTTTCGGTTATGAATATACTTGATATTTGATCTATTTTATACATTCTTGAAAATTGATATACATATATATATATATATATATACATATATACATATATACATATATATATA